TTATATGTAAATTCAATTTTTTTTTCTTAATGTTTTTTAATCACATATTTTCAAAAAAAATATTATTATAAAATTCATTTTTCTCAAATATGAGACTCGAAGAGAGGCTAAATGCATCGTCATGACAATTTTGATAGAAATGAAAAGAGGCAGCCGAAAAAAGGAACTTGCAATGGGTGGACAAATTTGGTTAATAAAGGAATTCTAAAGTATTGAGCATAAGAGCAATTCTCTGTAACCTATATTTAATTTGTTGCTTTCCTTATTATTTTTTTTTTTTTAATTTTAGCATTTATTGTTTTTTCATTATTTTACTATTGCATGCTTGGCATTGCAAAAGAGTGACTTTAATTATGAATAGAATTTTTAGTTTTGGTTCAATTTAAATATTTTGATTATGGGTTGGTTTCCAATTTTTGAAATCTATGAATTTTAATCAAGCGTTAAATCTCTGGATCATGTTACATCAAATTTGGTATCAAAGTTTACCAAGGGGACTATCCAACGCTAGCAAGCACTGGATGATAGAGTTTGGAAGGAGAAGATACACAAATCACCAACAAATTGACATGACCTTTGCTCAATGTTGGAAGTGCTGGAGCATAGGGCGATAGATGGTTGTCGAGGATATCAAGCTGCCACTCGAGCCACAATAGCAAGGTTGTGGGTGCAAGGTGCTGCTATCAAAGACAATGCAGCAACAAGATAAGGAGTTAATGTAGCTGGTAATGTGACATTAGCTAAAAGGACTTGTGATGATCTTTGGTATTGGAGGTCGATTTTTTTTCACATTAACGAGACTGAAGATTGGGATGATGAAAATCACGTTGAATCTCAAACAGGTGCACATATAGAAAGAGAATAAAATCAACAATGCTACAAGCAAATGGGAGTTTCATAGGTTTTTTTTACAAGATGCCAAGTGTCGATACTATTGAGAATTTACTTAACATGCACAACGAAAATTAAACAAAAATTTCAATTTCCACTAAAGATCTATTTTGTATTTAGATAGAAGCTGTGATAGAAATTATACATTTTGTACATTTTGCGAACTCCTTTGCTGATCTTGGAATACAAACAATCATTATCTGCAATCCATGGTTGTTCAATTGTCCAGCCTCTAATGAAAATTCACACAAAGAACAAGAATGAGAGAATTAAAGTTTTTCTTTTCTAGTGCTAGCAAGATAGTGAATTGTATTATGTTCAATTTTTTTGAAACCCTAATAGCTTATTAATATAAGTTCAAATGGTCTAGCCCGTCTCTTAACTTAACCTGGTCCAATATTTAATTAATCTAATTAATTAAATTTGATCCATAAATTAATTTAATCCAATTAATCAATTCAGACATACATATTAACAAGCAACACAATAATTGTCAAACACGTGTTAGTTAATTAATTGGTGAATTTCATTCTTCTAGTTCTGCTTTTGTGTGTGATCCATTAAATTTTCAATCACGATACTTAATGATATGAATTATTATTTTTAATCCAATCAAATCGATAAATTAAAAAAATTGTATTTTAGTTTATTATCAATTCACATTCGTTGTTCCAAATTGACATCTAGTAATGTTCAGCGCAATACATAAGACGGAAACTATCACGTGGTATAACAAAATCAAACTTATTCGTTTACCATGAAATTACAATTCATTCGTCAATACGATCTGATCAATTACAAGATATAAATATGTGTTAATCGGGATTATCGATCATATATTTCATCCTACTATTAAGTCAATATAAGTCGAAAACTGTTTTTTCAAATTTATGAGTACACTTTGGCCACAGATTTCGTTATCAACTTAATTTGTGGGTTTATTTAATTTCATCTACACTAATTTAGACAAAATGATCGGAATGATTAAATAATTAATTAATCTAATTATTTTATTTAATTTGTGGATTTATTTCCTTAAAATTTAAATTTTAATTAAATATCTAATTAGAGTCCAACTGTAATTTCAAAACTTAAGGCGATTGAATTTAATTAAAATCAAATTTTAATTAAATGAAAAAATTAGAGTCCAACTCTAATTTTAAGAGGTTATGGCGAACTTATTTAATTAAATTTTAATTTTAATTAAATGCCAAAATGGAGTCCAGCTATAATTTCAAGAAAATTTTTAGGGTGAAACAATTTAATTAAAATCTAATTCTAATTAAATATCAAATTAGAGTTCAACTTTGATAACAAAATTACAGGGCGAATTTATGTAATTAACACCAAATGTTAGTTAAATATTAAATTAGAGTCCAACTCTATTTCCATAAAAAGATTTTAGGGTGAGACCATTTAAATAAACCAAATTGTAATTAAATGTCAAATTAGAGTCCATCTTTAATTTCTAATTGAATTCACATTTTAATTTAGGAAAAAACTCCTAAATAAAATAAAATTCAATTTATGGTCGTATTTTAATATTTAAGTTAAAATTCAATTTTAACGATATGTCAAAATTAAAATTCTAGTCAAAATTGATAATATATGTCAAACTATTTTCAAAATCAATTTTAATTCCCTATTCAAAATTACTATAAAACCCCTTTTTGAAAATTGCACTACAACCCAATTTAAAATTGTGAAAGGCGCTCCCCAAAATTTTGAAATTTCGGGCCTGCCACGCATCTTGTCGCAACCAATTTTAATTTAGGGTTAAAGTTTATTATTTAAGTTACAATCCAATTTTAAGGATAATATAAAAATCGTCAATTTTAAATATAATTTTAACTTAGGTCCAAAAGTAAAATTCTGGTCAAAACTGATTATGGGCGTGTTTGAGTCATATTATTTTAAAAGAATGTATTTTGAAATAATAGATCGATGAAGAATATGTGGTTGAAAAAGAAAGAAAAGTTATTGATGTGATGTAAATTATTATTTTATTGAAAAATTTGTAGTTAAAAATGAGTAAAAAAAAAAGAATGAAAATTTTAATATGACTTAAACATGGGGTATATAGGTCAAACCATTTTTAAAATCAATTTCAATTCCCTATTCAATATTGTTATCAAGAACCTTCTTGAAAATTGCAATGTGACCAATTTAAAATTGTAAAAGGCGTCCCAAATTTCTGAAATTTCAAACATGCTGTTCTTTTCAAAATTACAACCCTGCCCCTGTTTTCATAATTGTATGAGGGGGCACATAATTACACAAATTGCAATCGAAGCAAACGCCTCCAACCTCCCACTCGAACCCTAAAGTCGCCTCCCTCTTTTTTTTTTTTAATTCTACGGTGCTAATAGTTTTCTGCCTTCTACTACCAGCGCAACGTCTGTAGTTTCCGACGCTACTCATTTTGTAGCGGCCCAGACGTCGTTGTGATGTGCAGCGACGTCGACGCAGCTGCAGACGCTGATCGCGAGGGGTTCGCCACGCGCGTCTTGCTGCTGTTGCCATCTTCCCACTATCAACCTTTTTTTATTTAACAAATTCTAAAATATGAAAATCAAGCTTTCTTAATTGCTAAAAACAAGAAAAAGAACAACAATCAACTTTTGATTGTTCCCAAATATTCAAAACATTTTCTAATAAGTACAAAGCTTGCTCCGATACCATTGTTGAGAATTTACTTAACATGCACAACAAAAATTAAACAAAATTTTCAATTCCAACCAAGGATCTGTTTTGTGTTTAGATAGAAACTGTGTTAGGAATTATACATTTTGTAGAATCTGCAAACTCCTTTACTGGTCTTGAAATACGAACAATAAAGATCCGCAATTCACAACTTTTCAATTGTCTAGCTTCCAATGAAAATCCACATATGGAACAAGAATAAGAGAATTATTGTTTATCTTTTCTTGTACTAGCAAGATAGTGAATTGTATTCAATTTTTCTGAGACCCTAATAACTTATCAATATAAGTTCAAGTTGGCTTAACCCTTTTTTAAAACTTAACTAGATCTAATATTTAATTAATCTAATTAATTAAATTTTGGTCAATGAATTAATTAATTCAATTAATTGAATTGGGCCTATTAGCAAACAATCCAATTAAGTAAATTGTCCAACACTGGTTAATTAATTAATTGGTGAATCTCATTCACGATGCCTAATAACGTGAATTATTATTTTTGATCTAATCAATATCGATAAATTAAAATACTCCATTTTAATTTATCATCAATTTACATTTGTTGTCCTAAATTGACATCTANTCAATATCGATAAATTAAAATACTCCATTTTAATTTATCATCAATTTACATGTGTTGTCCTAAATTGACATCTAACAATGTGTCAGTGCAATACATGTGACGAAAAATATCACGTGGTATAATAAAACTAAACTTGTTCGTTTACTGTGAAAGTATAATCCATTCGTCAATACGACCGGATCAATTACGAGATATAAGTGTGTGTCAATCTCGATTATTGATCATAAGTTTCATCCCACTATTAAGTCAAGTTTTCGACTTATAAGTACGCCTTTATCAATGATTTTGTTATCAATTTAATTAAATGAAATGTGTATCATAATCTCTTACCATTTAAAAGTGACGAATCTTCTATTAATCATTTACAATTTTCATATGATTTTTGACATATTCGAATGATGTTATATTAGCGACTCTTGGCAGAGTAACACCCAACATCACCAAAGTACAACGATCCCCATATTAGGTATTATGATGACCTCAAGTTGAAAGATCAATTCCTCTACCGAGCATTAGAATTTAACTACAGATATTTAGATAGTTATCCATGAGAAATCCCCCAGCAGGTCTCCAATATATAGTTTTATAACAAAACATCCACATGTTCATTTAAGTGTCACCACACTTTAGTTTGTGAGATCAATTATTTACTTCACAAGTAAGAAATGTCACATGTGATGGTCTATTCGTAATAGCAATATCCATATCTTGTTATTAGTTACGATCACAGATTATTTAAAATTCAGTCATATGTAGTTTTATTTCACAATCAGTCATAAATGGCATGCATCAATTATATATTAAAAGT